CTGGGGTTCCTTGTTTAAATTTGCCATCCGTTGGATTAAGTTGGAATTCCCACCTCGGTACTAATGACATTTCAGGACAGCTCAGCTCCTCGTAGTGGGCAGGTCGGGCGCCTGTGCGTTGTAAGATGACCCACAGCACTCCTGGCCTCTATCCCGTAGTTGCCAATATCCCCCCTTCCCCAGTTAGAACAATAAAAAATGCCACAACATTGTCTCCCGTTGAGAATCACTGGATTAAGAGATCATTATCCTGAAATGCGGAAGACTCAGGCCAGAAATCATGTCACATGGCATTTTATTTATAGCTGAGTGTGGCTGGGAGTCGTAGCAGCCTTCTTGAAGCTGTTTGACTGGACTTGAGGTCGAGGGTAGACCTGGTGTCTCTGACACCGCATCCCCTGTGCCAAAGTACTTCCTGGTGTGAGAACTGTAGCTGATCTCATGCCTACCGGTGAGGGCCACTCCTGTCTCCTGTAATAGCAATGAAAGTGTCCTTTCTGTGGTTGAATGCATTGGTTTAAAGAGTCTCTAAATCTGTGTTGAAAGGTGTATGAGAGGTAAGTATTAAGCAAACTCAACCCTCTGTCTCTGATGGGATCTTCTAACTGGCTTTAGGAGATCCCAGGCTGCGGCCCCGCCCACGTGCTAATAATTCCTCCCCACCCGGCTCACTTTACAAGAATCACCCTCAAACAGTTTCCACTCTTCTCTGTTCTAAGACTGTTTTGTCTTAACGTCCTTGCCTTAACTCCCCCTTTGGCTGATTTAACTAACTTTATGATTGACTCTTCATAAAGTTAGTCGATTCTCTGCTTTTTAAAACCTCTTTGGCTACTGCTAAGCTACCATCTTTTCCTAAAGTCTGCCCATTGAAAGTCTGCATTTAATAACGGAAGTTGCCAACGTCTTGACCTCTTTCAGATATGACAATGGATGATGTTCGGGAATACGAGAAAAACATGCACGAACAAACCAACATAAAAGTTTGCAATCAGCACTCCTCCACTGTGGATGACATAGAGAGCCATGCCCAAACCAGTGTATGTAGACGTTTTCCAACATGTTGCCCACCTTTCCCAAATGCACACGTAAACTCTCTTTGGAAATATTGCAGACGCTCAGTCCCCAACTTGCCACGAAAACGTGTCATCGTCCAGAGGCTGACGGGAAAGAGCCTGAGCTGGGTCTAAATTGGGCGATGTCAACCTCTCTCTTCCAGACGTTTTGATTCTTTAAAGCTGCTTGATTTGGGGGTTATTTCGGTCAGAATACCAAGAACATGGAGAGTGGAAACATTTTGTGGTTCTAGTAAAATGGCTTGCACCCCGAAAAGAGCAGAGGAGTGAAAATGGATGTCATATGCAAGCTAGAACAATATGTCAGTAACTTTTCAAAACACAGTTAACACTCATTTATTCATCCAAGGGAGGGTTGCTGGCTCATCTGCTATTTTAGGTTTCTTTACATTTGCTTTGAAATGCTTTCTGTGGCTCTTTTTAGCTGTCTTATCCAATCGGTTCCTTTTTACTTAGGTAATATCAAGCCGGGGCTGCAGTGTGTGCATAGCACGGGGTGCCCTGTGAATGGGGCGGTGAGCCGGGGATGGGCTGAACTGCAGAGTGGAGCCAGCCTGGGACTCAGGATATGCTCAGAGAGTCTCAACTTACTCAGCTCCCCCTGGAGACAGACCTGCCTCTGTGAAGGGACTTCCGAAAGTTCATGGAAAAATAAAATTAGAGTACGAGTTTATCTGGACCAGCAGAGGGCGCTAGATTCCCACGTACTCACCTGTCTCTGTCTCTCTGGAGAGTGCACGCACCCCAAAACCAAAAAAAAAAAAAAAATCTCTCTTAAAAGTATGAGTTTATCTTGGTGCAGAAACATTTGGAAATCATGCAGCTTTTTCATAACGTACATTTTCCATGCACTCTTTGAAGACCTGGCATGTGGTGTATACCAGCATTTTAAATATAGTTCTCTCTCAATCATTCATGCTAATGAAGGGGAGATAACAAAGAAAAGGGTAATCATCAAATTATGTATATGTCTCTTTAGCCAGAGTGCTGATTCCTTTGGGTTCCAACATAATCCTTCCCGAGCATTAGCCCAGGCTACAGAATAATGCATATAACTTTTTTATTTTTTTAAATGTTAGAGGAAATGGACAGATGGCTGTTATTTTAAATGGGCGCTTTGGGGGGACCTTCTGGCTGCACTTGGAGAGCCTTGGTTAAGTGTTGAGAGCATGCTCTGGAATGTGGCCTGCAAGGCGCATGCACGGCCGTGAGATGCACGCGACCGCCTTGGTGGTTGAAAGGACCCTGATGTCTCCTCCCGTGTCGCATGCAGTGACTGGACTTAGAAAACCGTTCTAGCAGGGCGCACCTGAAGTGTTTCCTCTCCATGTACAAACCAATTCCAACAGAACTCCCCCTTCCTCTCTTCCTGTTCTAGAAATGTTCTTTTAGGAAAACTGTCTCTGAATGTCCATCGTTGTCAATTACTTTTTCTTCCAGGAGTGTTAGACGCCAGTTCCCCCTCAACCACTCTGAAAGCTGCTCATTATAAATGTGCCCAAAGAAAGCCACAGGAGAAGGGGCACACCCAAGTCTAAAAGACACTGAGCACAGTGCGTGTCTCACCCAAAGTCCTTACGGTTTACAGCTTAAGGCTCTTGGGTCGCTTTTCTATCGGTTTTACTATGATCGTCATTTACTGTTATTATTATTGTTTAGTCCGTTTACTACATAAAATATGGTTCCCAGAGTGAGTCTCCCACGGGAAAGTCCCTGTAATGTCGGTTGCAACTCACGGTTGCTCTGGGTGACTTCACGAGCTGCCCACCTCCTGAGAAATTGCACAAAGCGGTTATTTTGAATGCTATGATGTTTCCCTTATTCTTTGGAAATCCATGAAATCGGGGTTCATTTATTTTTCCATATTCTTTCCCCTCTCTCATGAAGAAAAACAATGAAAACCAAGAGGCTGCTGTCCATCACTAATACAAACTGCATGGATGCTAAAAGAAATGTAAATCATCAGCCTGGGTGGATATAAATTACATTGAAGTTATGCAAAATAATATCCACAAACACAGCGATAGGAGAGAACTGTCTCTCTTCCAAAGAACAGTTTCAAAGCCTTCAAGGAAGAGAACTTTTAAGAAAGACTCTGGAAGGAGTGACAAAAATCAAAATTCTGTGCTTCGGATGATTTCTGCCCCCTGCTGGCTGTGTGGAGTAAAGCAATATACTCAACCCCTTAGTTTTATTTTTCAAAGACAATATCCATTCATTATTGCAAAATCATACACACCCCCATTCATTAAAATCTTCTTAAGAGTCCCAACTTTATTTTGAAGCAACCGTCTCTTTTTTTTTTTAAGAGAGATTTTTGCCGTAGGGTGCATGCACTTGCATATGAAGAGAGCCAGAACAGAAAGCAAAAAAATCACTCCCAGGGGGATGGCCACGCTGCAATCCCTTCTCCATTCTCCACTCAGGATTTTTGGCATGCACGCACATGTACCTGGCTTGAGTTTTAAGCCACTGAGTCGGAGACTCAAACTGCAGTCAACAACATGCGAGTCCAGCAACATAAACATTATGCCATCTGCTAGTCCCATAACTGCCTCTTTTTTAAAACTTAATCTCATTTCCTAGCTTCCTTAATAGTATTTTTAAAAAAATAATTATTTTGTTCAACTTTATTTATTTATTTATTTATTTATTTTAATGTGACCAGAGAGAGTGAGAAAGCAAGCTGCCAGGTCCGAGACTCAAACCATAGTTGACCATGTGGGAGTCCAGCGCCCTTAACCACCACGCCACCTGCTGGCCCCCCATAGTCAGTATTTTTTTTAAAGGAATTATTTTATTTAACATCATTTATTTATTATTTATTTATTTATTTTAATTTGACCGAAGAGGGACAAAGCAACAGAGAGAGAAAGGGAAAGTGCGAAAGCAAGCCTCCAGGTCCAGGACTTGAACCAAGGTCGGCCAAGTGGGAGTCCAGCACCCTTAACCACCACACCACCTGCCAGCCCCAATAGTCAGTATATAAATGTCAAATATATAGATTACATACATTTGAGAAAGAGTCACATTTCCAAAACTGTGATTTTTACTTTCTCATTTAATAGGAATGTTTCAGGCATTTGGAAAATCTACACCATCTAGCAGCGCCCATTAAAGGAGGCATTACTGACTGATTTGTTGAATTTCAAATAATGCTTTTTTTCTTTTCAATAAAATCTTCATTCAGGAAATGATCATCTCTTTCTATCCTCTATGTTTTGCTTTTAAATGTCCTTGAGAATTGGTTTTATGTTCTTGGCTTTGGAATATCAGGGTTCGGTGTTTTCACTGTTTTTTTAACCTCCTTAACTAAACGCAGCACTTAGAAAATCTCAGGGTAGATGCAAAGTTAAAGAACCTGCCACGGTATCTCTGTGCCTCCCTTGGAATACAGAAAGTGTGTTTATTGAGTAAGAAAATAGCATGTTGAGAAACTCTGATGATTTACCTCCTTAGCCCGTAAAGGTATACTTGTTCTTTCGTGATCTAAAGTTGACAATAATAGGTGTCACTCAGGGTGATTGATTGACTCAAATACCTTCTCTGCATGGAAGAGATGACTGGGTTTGATAACAGCTCTGTGTACCCAACACGAATCCCCAACGACACACACATACACAAACCCACATGTTTTCCTGGTCTAGTCCTATAGCTTCTGTTAAAGTCCTTGTCCAGAATATTTAAAATACTCACTAGAGAGTGCTTTGGGAAATCTTGGCTGAATATTCATAGAAGAATATTGTTTTCAGGGGTGTGCCTATGTAAAAGGAAAACACTGAGGGCTTAGCATCTCAGTGGTAATTTGGGTTTCTAATGTGATGATGGGGTTCCCAGAGCCCCTTGAACCCAGGGGCAGTGATGAATTGATTTGCATTTCTCATAAATAACAGCTTATTTTTCTTTCTGTTCTTCTCTTTGAAGACATGACAATGGATGAAGTCCGCGAATTCGAACGAGCCACTCAGGAAGCCACCAACAAGAAAATCGGCGTTTTCCCACCTGCCATTTCCATCTCAAGCATTCCCCTGCTGCCTTCCTCTGTCCGCAGTGCCCCTTCTAGCGCTCCGTCCACTCCTCTCTCTACAGATGCACCCGAATTTCTGTCCGTTCCCAAAGATCGGCCCCGGAAAAAGTCTGCCCCAGAAACTCTCACACTTCCAGACCCTGAGAAAAAAGCCACCCTGAATTTACCTGGCATGCACTCTTCAGATAAGCCATGTCGGCCCAAATCAGAGTAACTTCAGATGAATATCTCACGGGGTATTATATTTTCATCTGGGTTTTTTTTTTTTTTAAACAATCTTCTGATATAGGGAAAAACTGCTTTTGACCTAAA